TATCACTGGGGGTATTTGTGGGAATGCCAGGGTTCCAGCTCTGCCCAGCTGCATCCTCTCTTCCACCCTCCCAATCTACTCTGAGCAGGAAGCTCACGGCACCTGGCATTCCGCTGTCCAGTCCATCACCTGAAACAATAGAGAGCACCTCAGTGAGCAAAGGTCAAATATACCCATGGGCTTATGTCCCAGCCAGTAGTCAACACCTCTCAGGCATCAAAACAGTGAGTAAATACTAATACTTCAAATAGATCCTTTAAGAGAGCACACTGAAATTCACCAGAGACATGACAGGAATCACAGACAGGAGAGGAGAGTAAAGTCTGCCGAACTGGGACCCCCATGGACCGAAAAGGGGCTCCCTAACACAGGAAAGAGGTGAGTAATAATTAATATAAGTCAAGTAAGCCAGCTCTTATTTGTAAGTGCCACCTACTGGCCTGCAGGTTGAACTGCATGGCCCAATATAAAACAGAAGTGCACAGAGCTGCAGGAGGAAGTCCAAAACCCCTACCAACAAACTCTACAGTGACACCCTCAAGGCGGGAGAAGGGGGAGATAACAGAGAAAATATCCCACATAAATGAAAATAAATTCGAATATAAGTGTCAGCTTCTCCAGATAAGAAGGAACCAGTGTAAAAATTCTAGCACCATGAAAGATCTGAATGTTGTGACAACATTGAATAATCACACTAGGTCTCTAGCAAAGAGCCCCAACAAAAATGAAAACTCCAAAATTACAGACAAAGAATTAAAAGTACGGATTGCAGGGAAGGTCTATGAGAGCCTAGAGAAAATTGAAAACTAACACAAAGAAACCATGAAAACTGGGAAATGAAGGAAGAGATAAATACCTTTAAAACAACAACAACAACAACAGAACTTCTGGAAATAAAAAATACACTTAAACAATTTCAAAATACAGTTAAAAGCTTTAATGATCCAAGCAGAAGAAAAAATTTTCAGATCTTGAAGATTGGTCTTTTGCTAACATAGACAAAAATATAGAAAAATGAATTTTAAAAAAGAACAAAGAAATATGGGATTTTCACCAAACCTATAACTTATAGACATTCCTCAGAGAGAAGAAGAAAAAGTAAGCAAACTGGAAAACATATCTAGGGTAATAATTCAGGAAAATGTCCTTAATCTTGCTAGAGAAGTAGACTCCAAAATACAAGAAACTCAGAATACACTTACAATTACAGAATGGGAGAAAATATTCGCAAATTATGCTTCCAACAAAGGACTAATATCCAGAGTATATAAGGAAGTCAAACAACTAAACAGAGAAAAGCAAGCAACTCCATTAAAAACTGAGCAAAGGATATGAACACACATTTCTCAAAAGCAGCAAACACATGAAAAAATTCTCAACATCACTAATTATTAGAGAAAGGCAAATTAACACCACACTGAAATATCATCTTACACCAGTCAGAATGGCTATTTTTAAAAAGTTAAAAAACAACAGATGTAGGTGTGGATGTAGAGAAAATGAAACATTCATACACTGATGGTGGGAATGTAAATTAATTCAATGTCTATGGAAATCAGCTTGGAGATTTTTCAAAGAACTAAAAATAGAACTACCATGTTACTCAGTAATCCAATTACTGGGTATCGATCCAAAGGAAAAGAAATCATTATATAAAAAAGACACCTGTACTTTTACATTTATCTCAGCACTATTCACAATAGCAAAGTCATAGAACCAATCTAAGTGTCTATCATTGGTTGAACAGATAAATAAAATATGGTATTTATACACTATGGAATATTATGCAACCATAAAAATTGAAATTATGTTCTTTGCAGCAACACGATGGAGGTGGAGGCCATTATCCTAAGTGAACTAACTCAGAAACAAACAAACAAACAAAAAATACTGCATGTTTTTCCTTATAAGTGGGAACTAAACAGTACATATATATCGACATAAGGATGGAAATAAGAGAGTCTGTGGACTCCGAAACAGGAAGGGGTGGGAGGGGGATGAGGGCTGAAAGACTACCTATTGGAAACAATTTTCAGTATCTGGGTGATGGGTACACTAGAAGCCCAATCCCCACCAGTACACAATAAATCCATGAAACAAACATGAACATGTGCCCCCTGAATCTAAAATTTAGAAAGGCAGCCCACCTGCAACTCAGCCCACCTGCATGACCAAGGGTTGTGCCCCTTTTCCCCCTTCACCAGGGTGAGGAGCCCCTGACTGATGCCAAACCTGGGGGATCAACTCAGCTGGAGAGGAGGAGGCAGGGCTGGAGTGGCCCACAGAAGGGTGGCTGGCAAAGTTCCCTCTGCCTGCCCCTACTGTCACTGTTCAACACAGAAAGCCTGGGAGGGTCCCTGTGGGTGGCCAGGGTGGAGGGGTCCTCCCCTCTGATGTATTCTGAGCTCATCTTCTTAATCTATGACTTCCTCCCTTGAGGGATGAGGAAGGATGACAGGCCCTAACCTGAGTTCACATTGGCTAAACTCCAAAGGCTCTCAATCCCCATTAACAAACATATGTTGATTTCACCAGGATCACATACAACTCTTCATTAAATTGCACATGCATTTCTCCTTATGGGGTCTCAGAGCCACAGAGATGGAAAGCAGTCTCTTCATGTTTACACATGGGTTAACACAGGAGCACAGACCAGCTGCAGAGGAGTGAGCTTGAACCTCCCAGGGCAGAAACATAGTTGTCATTAGTTAGAGACAACCCAATCTGAGGAAGAAATAAAATCTCTCTACACTTTCAGGTTATTTTAATTCCCTTTCTTTACCCTATCTATCTATCTGCCTTTTTATTTATTTATTTATTTTGAGATAGGGTCTCGCTCTGTTGCCCAGGCTGGAGTGCAGTGGCAAAATCTCAGCTAGCTGCAACCTCCACCTCCTGGGCTCAACCAATCCTCCCACCTCAACCTCTTGAGTAGCTGGGACCACAGGCAGGCCATCCTGCCTGGCTAATTTTCATATTTTGGGTAGAGATGGGGTTTTGCTATGTTGTCCAAGTTGGTCTTGAACTCCTGGACTCAAGCAATCCTCTTGCCTTGGCCTCCCACAGGCCTCCCGTGAGCCACCATGCCTGACCTCCCTTTCTGTCTAATGAAAGCTTCCCTACACTTTTCCTGGTGTCATGAGTACAGTGAACATTTTCTCCCTGAGTCTTGAGAGACACACAGTTCCAGGCACCTTACAAAGTTGCCTCGGCTGCTCTGGGCACATTTGTATATGGCCGTAGGCATTAGGCAGCTGGGCCAGGCAGTCTAGAGCCAGAGGGTGCGCTGTCTGGCTGTCCATCCATTCCCACACCTGCACGGACATGTGACCCACCTCTCAGTACCCTGCCCATGGGGCCGCACACAGGCCATGCACCTGCTCGCCAGGCACCAGGCACCCTTCTCATAAATAACTCCACCTGTCCAGCAATGAGGTGGGAACACTCAATTCTTTGTGAAAATCTCTGTAATTACAGTACCAGAAGTGTGTGTCTTTTGTGAAACAAAAACTGTCTAAAAAACAAAGCAAGACCAAAAAAGTTGATAAAGCCAGGCCTCCCACTGCAGGAAGAATGTTGAGAAGTGAAGTGTGGAGGGGTGGCATGTTCTCTTTAGCACCCACGGTTGCTCGGGGAATAAGCCTCCAAATGGAGAAAAACCAAATGACGGAGTCCCGTCCACCCCCAGGGGCTCTAGCACCCTCTTCCATTTCCTCAACATTGACCTGGCTTATTTCTCTGGACGCCTTGTGCAGGGCGTTGTGCGCCTGGAAAAGCCTCTCATAACCAGCTAGGGAGACAGATGTACAGACACAGAGGTGAGAGCCTGGGGAAGGGTGGGAGAGGCCCACTTCCCAACATCGCAGCTGGCAGGACCCAGATGCGGAGTCCAGGCTGCAGCAGGACAGGACAGCAAGACGGAGAAGGGGGACAAGAAACAGTAACTCCTCAGGATGATGGCATTGAAGGTCAAAGTCATGTGACCTAGAGAAAGCCCCAAAGCCCTATACACAGAGGCAAGCCATTGCATTGAAGCCTTAAAAGAAAAAAAAAAAAAAAACATGGAGCAGGGACATTGCCATCCAAATTAGTCAATACTGTTTAAAACCTAAACCTGGTATATTTTTAACTTGTACTTACCTTTCAAAAATTCTATGGAAAAGTATAGATATTGCATTCTACTAGATGGGGGAGGTGGAGAGCAGTTGATTTACTCTCAAGATAGATGAGGTATGACTGGACAACCTCAGCCACAGCCCCCCAGGGGATCCCCTCCTGATGGGCTCAGGGGCCCCATGTGGGGTGCCCTTGGCCTGTGTGGGTGGCACCTTGGGCCATCCTGCAGCCACTGTCTGCACATGCTGGATGGTAGGATCCTGTCTGTTGACACTCATCTCTGTTGGGGCTGTGCTTCCTTCTTTGGGGAAAAATGACTAAGAGGGGAAGTTTATCTTCTCTAATGAAATGAGGAAAATCTGCTGAAATTTGCCTGGTTTGGGGGACAGTGTGGGGTATCTAGAAAGAGAATTCACATTTCCAGAAAGACCCTCATTGCCTTCTGGGACACATTCAGAATTTGAATAGCCAAAAAAATGGAAAGCAGGGACAAGGATGTGAAGAGTATAGAAAATAAGCTACACAAGTGTTTTTCATTGCAAAAAAGCTAGGAAGGGAGATACAGCATGGAATTCACGTTTCAAAGACTTTGGGGCTTTTTTTAGAGAGGAATTTGGCCTAAGACCTCATGGTCCCACCCCTTGGTGACAGATGAAGTCGGGGCTGTTAGGAGTGGAATGCATCCATGCCTGGCATCCCCATGGCACCAGGGAGCTTTATTCTGGCAGGTGCAGTATAAATCCAGCTCATTCAGAGGACAAGCTCCCTGGTGACAAACCCTTTGGTTGATCAGCAAGAATTCAACACCTCTGACCACAAACAAAGGCTCAATGTGTATGTCCAGTTCAGCAACAAAGGCCTGTTAATCTTGGGTGTTTGGTGCCTTAGAAGTTGGGCTCTGGGGGAGGCAGTGACAAAGGGGGTTCTGCAGTGTGCCCGAGAAGAGCAGGGAGCAGTGGCAGCATCCTGGAGGGAAGCCTCGGGCACCTAGCTGGGAGGAGGTGGTACCTGGAGGAGCAGGTGACAGGGAGGCACTCCCAGCTGGGTTGAAGGCAGCTCTTTGCGTTGCACAGTCTGCTTGGGAAAAGTACTCCAGGCTGTGTCTCAGGAACATCCTTGGGCGGCAGGGAGCCTGTGGTAGGGAAAGGCACTCTTGGTTGTGTGGAAAGCAGATTCTTGGGCAGCAGGGACCCTGTGCGCATTGGGACCGTGCAAGGGCTAAGCTGAGGTACCTCCCCTGTAGGGAAGAGAAGAGAGAGAAGGTCACCGTGATGGCACTGGAATTGGGCTCAGAAGGCTGCAGTTGCCTTGCTCAAGGGGTGGGGCCAGGACCCATCGGGACCCACAGGGTGGGCCTTGCTGTGCTCCTCCTTTCTCCCCTAGGTGCTGCCTCCAGCCTGGACTCCTCCGTCCAGACCTAGCTCAAGTGTCAAAGGTCCCCCCTTCCTCTCCGGGCAGCCCTGGGTCTCTGACTCTGGACTCCCTCACTTGGGGTTGAACTTGTCTTCTTCCCCCTGGGAGTCAGGAGGAGGCCCCAATTACCTCTGTGCCCCAGCATGGCCTGGAAGGCTCTAGTGAGCATGTGGAAGGGATGAGCGCTCACCACAGCCCTCAAGGCTGGCTCCAGGGACCCTTGGGTGGGTGACAAGCTGAGAAGGCAGCAGCTCAATGGTTCCCTTGGTTTGGGAAGAGGATGATCCAGACCCGTAGGAACAGCTAGTTCTGTCTTGCAGGACCAGTTGCTTTGCTTTCATCCTGGGCACACACCAGTGTAGCCAACCCACCACCCACACAGCTGCAAGTCTGCGATGCCTTTCTCTCTGCTGGTTTCTTATGCTCATGATCAGGGCAACCCTGTCTGAAGACTTGATCAGGGCCTTTCAAAAAGGCCCTCAGGGTTACTCTAAATAAGGTCAAAGGGACTGGGGTTCATTCCAGCCTCTAACCACAGGCAAGCCACTCAGCCTGTTGGGAATGGCTTTTCCATCTCTCAAATGGGTCCAGCAATACTAAACACTGACTGATCACCCCAAGTCTATTCTTCCTGTCTTCCTTACTAACGAGACCTGATTTTGTTAAGAGAGGCAATGTAAAACGACCTTTTCCCAGTCTTCCTTGCTGAGCAGCGTGGCCACGTGAATGCATTCTGGCAATGGAGTATAAACAAGAATTGTTGGGCATTGCTTTAAAGAAAGCTGGTTTCCCTTTTTCCTTCTTCTTTCTGCCTGGAGTATGAGTGTGATGCCTGGAGCTCCAGAAACCATCTTGTAAACATGAAAGCAAATTGAAAGCCTGGCCTTTTCAAGGATAATTGTTCAGTTTCCCCAAGGCTGTTCTCTTGGGGGTTTAGCAGGCAGCAAATTAGATAACAATCTTTCTCAGAGCCCCTCAGCTCTCCCATTTCCCAATTTGCCTAGGATGTCCTCTGTTTCTGGAATGCTCTTCTTAACCTTGTCTGCCCAGTGAACTGCCACTCACCTTTTCAGACTCAGCTCCCGAGTGACCTTCTCCAGGAAGCCCCTTATCCTTGCTCCCAGCTAAAGTGACTGCCCTGCTTGGTCTTTCTGGTCATGTGCTGGCAGAAGGCTGAGCCCGTTGTGGGAATTGCCCTGTCCCTCCAGATGTACCTGTCCCTGCTCTGCATGCATGAGGACTGTAACTGCATCCCCTTCCGCATCTATGGCTGGAGGGCTGCAGCAGGCTCCCAGGATGCCGGTGGGCATACGCCACTTCGCCTTGACCTCCCCATCTGTGATGTGGCGCTGACGATACCCACAGACCAGGAGCAGCAGCCCATCAACGCCTGTGGTTTCCCTGGCGTGGGGCCTGCTCAGCTCCTTCTCCACTCAAGGCCACCCTTCCCAGGTTGCCTGGAATCCCAGGGGTCCCCTGCCAGGCCAGTCTCAGCCTGATGGTCCCCAGGAAACCCTCCATTCCTCACAGGTATTCCCCAGAGCGTGCAGACTTTGAGCTTGCTTGAACCTGTCGTTCATGCATAAAGCCTCCCCTTGGGCACGTGAGCAACAAGTGCCTCAAATGCTGGATTCCCTTATGGAGACGGTCCCTCTCTTACTGACAGGGGCCCTTCTCCCCTCTAGGCCTCATCCTGGGACCTGCCCTCTCCTGCCCCTGCCCTGCTAATCCCCATCCAGGATGATGCTCACTTTCCCCTTGTGCCCCCTCAGACCCTGTCCTGAGCCACCTGTGTCTGCAGCTGCCTGTCCACCCTCCTCCATGCCTGACTGGGCTCCTGCTACCTGTTCAGGGATTCAGGCTTCCTTCTTAGTACAGTCCAAGTGTGTCAGCCTGCTCTCCCTGGCTCCACCCATCCCCAACCTTAGTCCTCCCAGGACCATCTTCCCTCCCAGCTCACACCCTCCAGAGAAGCTCTGCACTGCTGGCAGGATCCAGTCTTTCCAATCAGCCTGCATGCCAGACCTTCCCCTGCCAGGCTCCTGGGGTCTCCACAGCCTGCCTTCAGGCAATCATAGCCCGGCTACTAGAAGAACTGGCCATGCCCTGGCACCTTCCCTTGCTCCTCTGCCTTAAGTGCTCTGCTCCTCACCTCTCCAAGTTGCATGTCCAAGCCCAGCTATCCTGAGCCTCAGCCTCAGCTCTGATGCTGCCTCTGACAAGCTGCCTTCCCTGAAGGGGAGCACCCTGGTCCCAAAGCTCCAGAGCGCTAGAGCTGAGTCTCTTTCTCTTTCTCCAGACAGCCTCTCTCTCTCCTTGCAGCACAGAATTGGGGGCTCCTTCACATCATGAAACCCTCAACTTCCCTGCCCCAGGTCACACACCAAGTTCAAGGCTGAGCACAGAGCAAGAGTGACCAGAGAGTCCATGGACTTGGCCCAGACCTCACTCTGGAGGCACAGGGACAATTTCCTTCCACTTCTCCTTTGGGCCCAAGAAGTCTCAGCACTGTATTCCATCCGCCACTGCCCCCTGACTACAGGCCAACTGGACCCAGAACACAGGACACTTCATCAGGATGTCTGGGCCACAGTCCTGGCCTCACAGAGGTGGCTCTGTCAGGGGGGCTCAAAGCCCTACCTCACTCCTCCTGGCACCACCCAGACTATAAGGCCCAGGCAAGATCTCACCTGCTGGTCAGTGCTCTCCTCTGTCCACTCAGGCCTCAGCTTCAATCTTCTTGCCTCTAAGCAATCCCTGTGTGCAGCAAGGCCATTGTGTTCAAACCCTCTTTTGGCATGGTTAGGAGGCATGGTGGGAACCAGAAAGAATAATGCCACTCCCAGAAGGAGACGGCCCCTCCTCCTAGCACTGCCAACGCAGCCTGGGGGATCTGTGGTGGCATTGTGAGGGGCTGCCTGTGCTCATTTTTGTGGGAGGAGGAGGTGCCAGCTATGGGGCTCCAGGGCGCCAGGGGCCTGCTGACTGCCAACCACTCATTTCTCCCTGCCTTCCCTCAATTTTGACACAAGTGCTGAGTCCCTAGGCAAGACAGAAGTCCTCCCAGGGACATTCTAACATCAGACCCTGTATTATCTTCCTTCCTCCTCCTTATGTTTCTCTTTCTTTATTTCCAGAGCTCCTCTTTCTTTTTCTATGCTAGGCGCTTTACACATCTATTCTTCACTTCTCAGAGTAAAGCCCTGCAGAAACACTGAGACACAAATAATGGGTGATCCATGCTTTTCCTCGGTTGGGGGCTAAGGTGGACATCTTTCTGGGTGTGAGGAGAGAGGGTGAGGCAAGGTGGGGACACAGCAGGCCACCTCTTCTCCACAACAGGATGAGGGATAAAGGGTAGGTTCCCCTCCCAGTATTCTCCCTGTCAAGCACTAAAAGGAGTCTGGCATGCATTTGCACCGGAGGTTCTTAGATGTGCTGGTGCTCTCCTGGTGTCCTGGACAGCTGATGAGCCAGAACCATCCACATTCATGCTGATGCTGCAGTGGGCAACTGCCACCAGGTGCAGACCACTGGCAGACAGGCCTGGATTGGATCTGGCTATACAGGCTCACCTTGCCATTCCCTTAGCCTTGCCATTCCCTTGGCCTTGCTATAGCATAGCCTAGCATTCTTTATGTATGCATTTCATTTTATCCTTATTTTTGAGACAAGAAAGGTGAAAGTTGGGGAGAAGCTGAACCACTCAACTTGGTTGGGCCATGTTCTTCTATGGTCACCCTTGAAAATGCCAAAGGGGCTTCTCACTTCTCTACAGTTATGCCCAAAACAGGTTCCTGTTCATACATGTCAGATCTGAAGTGTTTCCTTGTGAAGCCGAGAAACAACCAAAAGTATATTCACAGGACTGTGTCTCACTAGAAATACTCATTCATGTATTCAACAGAGAGCCCTGTATCTGTGAACCCAGATGCAAGACAACGGCTACTTGTGGAAAATATACTCCTGTCAACACTGACCTGCAGGGCTGGGACGTGTCTGTCTTCCACACCCTGCATCCATGTGACACTGACTGTCATCATGAACAGATTGACAAGGACAATATTTGATTTCCTACCTTTGGTTCACCAACTCCAAGCTGCCCCAAAATATTCACACTGGCTGTGTCTTCTACTGGAAAGGAATCCCCCAGATTTTTACTCCACTGACTTCTTATCACTTTTTCTCAGTTTAACTGTCACTCCCTCCCTCTTCCTCTCCTTTTCTCCCAAGAGAGTCTTCTCTGGCCAACCAGGCATTTGTTGACACATTAATGACTTTTAATCCTCTGGACCGTTTCTGTCACCATCCGACTCTCCCTAAGAAAATGCAAACCCTGCCATGAAAGTGAGACATTCTTCGTCTGGTTCATTTTGTCTTCCCAGCACCTGCTGTGGAATACATTTTTGCTGAATTAATGAATATGAATAAATCTTGGAATATTTTCCTTTGAACATTTTTTCCTTGTGACAAAGCTGGTCTTGAAATTAAGAAAAAAATAAAAATTTTCCACTGCTTTTATGCTTACTTAGACCTCTAGAATAAGAATTCATGGATAATGAAATCAAACTTGTCTTTATTCTAGTTATTATTAGTAATTATATACGTGTGTGTATATATATCTCTCTCTCATATACATTTAAATTATTTTGTATATATTTTAGTGTATCGTGAAATAAGGCTTTTATCTGAGCTTTTCCCCAATATTTTGCCAAAGTTTACAAAAACATTTGTGTTAAATCAAACTGAATTCGATCTAAGAAAACTTCTGTAATCACATACTTGAGTTCTCACACATGAACTGCAACCTAACAAATTGAAACC